CCATATTACAGACTTACCCCAAAGTCAATAGCATAATTAGAGATGTAAAAATAATACTGACAGCCCAAATAATGCATATATAGAAAGAAGCTTGAATTTTCATATATTTACAATTTTGTCAGTCTATAATGGTGCATTACAGTATATTCTTTCCTGTTCTGCTTGGTCAGGTTAACACCAGCCTGAAGAACAATATTTTATATTGCTGGGGGATGAGTTCCGGGCAGCAGCGGCAGCAGCAGCATTTTCTGGACCTTGGAAATAGCCTCTTGTTTGCTGGAGTTAGTATTGGTGTTATGTCTTTGTGCTCTGTTACGCAAACTTGGATCAGGAAAGGGGGCCCACTGCATGGCTAGCATTGTAAATGGTGCTTATCCACTGCTTCAAAAAGGGAAAAACCACCTTCTTTAATAGGCTCCATATGATCACCCACTCATTATCCAAAAGCATAATGCCACATTGAGAGATTTGCCAGAGAAATTCATAAAAACAATTTAAAAAAAAAGCTAAAAATGTTGTTCAATTTTGGAGTTGCATGATTTACCTCCACTGGAAAGGCAGCCAGGCCCCGGATGTGCTGCCCGCTTTGCGCTGTTTTTCTGCTTTTCACATGAATGCTCCCTTTGAGAGACGATCATTCACATTCAGAACAGGCAAGCTGCTGCTGACCAGCGTTTTACAAAAAAAACCCAAATAAATAAAAATAAATAACAGGGCCTCATCATTCATTCTTGGAGTTGTAAAGTGCACCGATTTCTAAGCGCGAATCTGGGAACACCAGCCAGCTTTCCTAGAAGTAAATCAATTTTTCCTCTGGGGTGATTCAGTAGCCTTTTTAGTGACAGAGGTGTTGACCCAGCACATCTTTTTTTTTTTTTTTCCCCACACCTCCTATCTTGCATCTTGATGGGATGAAGATGATAATTTTCTACCACGTTTTTAGGCAGTCCATGCAATACCAGCAGCAGCTGGGAGCTTGGATGCCACACAGGGAGCACTGGGCATTTGTGTTTCATTTGTAGTTAGAACTAGTTTTTAAACCCTCATCACATGTTATTCAGGTCACATCAATAATTTTCAAAGTCACAACATTGAGCCAGAGTTTCCCTTATAAAGATGGTTCTCGACCACCCTGGGTTGCATACCTGATATTGCTTCCAGCTAGCACCTGCATCCAGGCTATGCTCAGCAGATCTAAACTTGCCTTAAGAGAAAATCCTTTTTTTTTTTTTCACTGGAAAATATAGAGGAGGTGGCAGCTTTCTTGTCTGTGTGTCAGAATCAGGTTTTTTCCTACCCTGGTTTTCCTCTACACTTCCAAATGCTTTTGGTGGAAACCCAGGGCACAAGGTGAACTGGCTTCAAAAACAGGCCCAGGAAGTCAGGTTGGCACTGGGCCTCTCCCACCACTGAGGTCTGTCAGAGGAGATCTGGCTTCTGGGTTTCTGTAGGAATTTGTGAAGGGTTGATGAGCAAAGACACCAAGGTTGGGACCAAAAGCGGTCCCTTTATGCAAGTGAACTGCTCCTCAAGCCTGCACCTGTAAGGGTGGAAGTGTAGTACACTGGTGGCAGCCAAGCTTGGTGGAGCATGTTATAGAAGGAGAAGGTGATTTTATTATACAAAATCTCTCAGCAAGCTGGTTTCACATGTTTCCACTTGCAAATACTAAACCATTATTCAAGTGTATCCAAGCTGGAATTGTGTGTGCAACACGGACCATGGGAGACACCAACCTGCTTGTCCTCGCCAGGCCTCCTGTGGTTTTTAATTCATCAGCTCTGCCAAACTCATTTCAGGCCAGGCCTTTTCCATCAGTTAGGAGCGATGTTTTACTACTATCCTCCCCCTGGGCTAATCCGGACAGGAATGTCATGTGTGATAGGCTGCTGTGGGGAGTGCAAGGTCTCCCGCCGCTGGTGTTTGCAGAGGCCTCTTGGCCTTGGGAGACAGGACAAGCTGCTCGAGGGCACTGGTTGGAAACGGAGCTTTTTGTTATCATCACAGGCTGCTCCTTTGACCTCTGATGTGCTCTTTCTTCTGTGCTCGTATCTGTTTTGACTTGCTACAGAAGAGGGGGAGCAATAGGGGGATTCTGGGCCAAAAAATGGATTTTGCCTGTACTCTGCAGGACATGCACATGAGATGAATCTAATAAAGTGCCTGCCAATACCTGCATTAAGGCCAAGCACAGTTATTAATCAGCACTGAGGTACTCAATGACATGTGCATGTGCAAGCTGTGATTGAGGTCTGCAAGCTTCCCCTGGCTGCACAAATAAGGGATTCTGCAAAAACAGAAGGTAGATCTATATATATATATATATATAAAGCAGAGCAAATGCATGATGGCTTTGAAGTTGCTCTTTCCCAGACAACGCGGTGTGTTTTAAATATATGATTCGTTTTTACTGGCTTCCTTCTTGCTAAGAAATTTTCTTGGCTAGAACTAAGAGGGAGAGCAACTGCTAATGAAGTTGTACATGATGTCAGCGAGCCCTCCCTGCTGCAATAGCTGCTGGCGTTAGTGCACACTCGGGTTATTAACGCGTTTGGCAACGCGAAGGGGAAGGGGCCGTGGGATGGCCTGGGTTACACCCTGCCGCCAGGACGGGGGGCACGGGGTGGACGCTGCGGGGTTGGGGGGACCCTGTAGCCTCTGTGCCCCCTGGCCACCCCACAACTGCCCCTGCAGTCCCCCAACCTCATAACTGCCCCTCCAACTTCCCTGGACCCACAACTGCCCTCCAGGACCTCACCCCCACATTTGCCCCTCCAGCTCCCTCACCCCGCATCTGCCCCTGCCTCATCCCAGACCCTATATGTGCCCCTCCAGCCCCCCAAGCCCCTAGTTGCCCCTCCAACTGCCCCGGCCTTGCAGTCGTCCCCTGCAGCCCCCC